TCTCTCTGTCTGGCAGCCTTGCCTATCCCTCTCCTGCCTATCTATTGGCCATTCAGCTCTTTATTAGACCAATTAGGTTTTTTTAGGCAGGCAAAGCAACACAGCTTCACAGAGTTAAACAAATGCAACATAAAAGAATGCAACACATCTTTGCATCATTAAACAAGCGTTCCACAGCATAAATAAATGTTACACTTCTTAAACTAATATTCCACAACACTCGGTAGTGCCTCTGACTTTAGTTTTTACTGTACAGAATCCACACTTGGATTCCTTCTTAATAATCTCAGCAATAGTATCGTGGGATGGCACTAGTGATGACTTCAAACAAGGGCTTTGTGTATCCACCCTAGGTTTTCAAAGGGAAGCCGACTCTTTGCTGTCAGTGACCAAACTCAGCACCATGAGTGATTCTAAAAACACAAGAAAAGCCCGAGAGATGCTGTTGAAACTGGCTGAAGAGACCTCCATCTTCCCAGCCAGCTGGGATCTCTCTGAGAGGTATCTCTTGGTTGTGGTAAGTGGATGCCTTTCCTCATGGCCCCGTTTTGTTTCCTTTTCTGTTATTTCTGGAACCCCCACATCACAACCCCACCAGCTCCACCAGGACAGGGTGGGGAATGGTGATGCCACTGTAAGCACCCGTGACGGATGGCTCCAGAGCCACCTGGACAGCTTTGAAGAGAAGGATTTCCAGATCCCGCCTAAAACTGTTGAGACCCGCGTTGTGGCCAGATTGTTTTTCATATGATTTCTGCTGTGTGGTTAAAGTTTCAGCATTCGGTCAGAGTTGCTATCCTGCCTAAGATGGGAAAGGTTGGTGGAAGGCTGGGTGGATAGTTTAGTTGGTGGATGCTTGTTGTGTAAGCACGAAGAGCTGGTTTTTTTTCTCCAGCACCCACTTTGGGAGCCTGACACGGTGGCACTGCTTGTGATCCCAGGGCTGGGACACAGAGAACAGACGGACACCTGAGGCTTGCCGACTGACCACCCTGGCCGAGTCAGGTGTGCACGGCTCCCAGCGAGAGAGAGTGCAACAAAGGTGGGGTGGTTCTTGAGGAACAACACAGAAGGTTAAACTCTAACCTTTGCACGCGGTGTGGATACCGGCCCACCTGAACACATACATGCTCACACACACCTGCACATACATATACTCACACTCACAAATTTTTGGTGGAAACATCTCTTGGGTAAGTAAAAGGGTGAGGTAAGCCTCGGAGTCTTGAAATTTTTAATGACTGTTTTACTTTCTTGGTATTATTTCTAGGGCAGGCTAATAAAATTTCTCATCCATGTAGCTCAGTTTCCAACTTGGTGAGCATCTTCTTTCATCTTTCCTCTAACTGCAGGACCGTCTCATTGCTCTGGATGCTGCTGAGGAGTTCTTTAAGATTGCTAGCCGAACTTACCCCAAGAAGCCAGGGATCCCATGCCTGGCAGACGGCCAGAAAAAACTGCACTACCTTCCGTTTCCAAGTCCCTAAAGGATGGCCTGGAAGAAGATCAGAGTTCTTTCACCATGACACCGCAATTTACCAAAGCTGGACCACCACCTGTGGTTGCAAGTGAGCCAGGTGATGGCTTTCTACACTCAGACACAATCCTGAATCCTACAAAATACACGGTCTTCCTCGGGGCCTTAGCCTGAGAATGCTCTGGTTACATTAAAACACCTGACAACTGTTCATCGAGAAAGGAAGTTAAAGCGTTGGCTGGTGCATAGTTTTTCCTGGCTGGTCAGATTCCAAGAACTCATCGCCTCCTTGGCTGTATAAGCTACCCTCATCCATCTGTGGAGGACTGGTGTTTGTTTGTTTTTT